AGGCCAATAAACATAAAACATAGAACCAGAAGCCAAAGAGTTTTCTTAAGAGTCACCAGACCCAGATTACTTTATGAGTGAGTTCCAGCAAACCTTCAAGGAACAGATAATTCCCATCTTATAAAACTGTTCCAAACAATATAAAAAGTTGGGACACTACCCAGTGTGTTTTGTCAAGCTAATTTAACAGTGATATCAAAACCAGATTATTTGTATAAGTGAGATTTGATGTATACTTTCTTTTTGTTGTTTTTGTGCTAATTTTATTCATAGGTATTTTCTAGCTTTTGTTGCTGATGTGAATGAGTACATTTTTCCCACTGTTCTACTTTGTTATTACTGCTTCAAATAAAAATCTAACTATAATAATTCTTAAATCAGCACAATTTAATGAAATACGATAGATAAGGACTTTTCCCTTGAAGGTATTTATTTAGCTTCATGATTGATTCCAACAGTCTCTCATAACTTCAGGTTTATAACAATCTGTAACATGTAGATACAAATGCTGATTTATGAGCATCTTATTTGGAAAGAAAAACAAGATAGGGAAGCAATTTCCAAGGTCCCAACCATCATACATCAAGATTCACTTTCATCTTTCTACATTATATAGATGCCTCTATATGTAACTTATAGAGAACTATACAGATATTATCTTTTTGCTGTTATAGGATTAGGAAGCAGTTCTGTCTCTCATCCCAGGGAAATATATTGTTTGTTGTTTTAGTTTCTTCTTTCTACCAATGCCTGTGGAGCCATTGCTAGAAAAATCAATACCTGACTTGCCACATTTTACTGCTCATGAGTAGTGTGGGAACAAATTGATTCTGGTTATGGGCAAATCTGTTCTCTGAGTCATCTTCCAACTTTCCTCGCCACTTTTTAGTATTCACTTTCCTATAGATTCAGAGTTCTGCATGGTGGAGTATATGATGTAAAGTAGTAAAAAGAGCATGCAGTACCAGTCCTAAGTTCAAATCCTGACTCCACCATTCTCTAGCATGACCTTGTGTAGGTTAATATGCTTCTCTGTACCTCAAACTCCCTGTTTGCAAGATGTGATGATTAAAACATCACATTTTAGAGAAATATTTTAGCAAACAAAAACAAAATTATCTAGCACATCTTCTTGTGTTTATAGTTGCCACTCCCCATTATCGGCTGGTTCTCTCACGATTAGTCATTCGTTGATAGGCAAGCAGGAACCCAAATCACTGGACCACAGCATCCTTTCGAAATTTTTTTTGAATTTCAAACAACCAATTAACAGATGAATTTTAGAACCATAAACAAACAGGAGTTGCCCATAAAGTGTTTAGTTAGCATTGTGGCACTTAAGAATTTGAAAAATTCAAGCATTGCTAGTAGCTTACATCTTCTTTGAGTAGGACTGAGTTCATCTGATGTCTGAACAGAGCAGAACTGTAGATATATGATGAATGAAGGTGACTGATTTAAGTGTGCGATTATTAATACAAGTAACTGACACAATTTGGCACTTTCTATTTTACAAAGCTCACTCACTCACTTACAATTTTATTTGGGCAACCAAATTCAGGGAATAAGATCAGAAAAAAATGTTATTATCCCTATTTTATAGTTATGGAAACTAAGACTCGGATTTTAAGTGATTATTTTCAGTGTGCATTAGGACACCAGTTTTCTTGACTCCTTTTACAAAATGCAGTAACTTTTCTCATGGTGTCTTGTGCTTTGGGAAAGTGTGTGGATTAAACAGAGTAAGGATAAGAAGGTCATTGGAGAGTAATTTGGCAATATCTTGTAAGATTGGAAATGTGCAAACACCATGACTCAGCAACTCGACTTCTAGGTATATACCCTTGAGAATCTCTCTACAGGTGCACAAGGACACACGAATAAGAAGGTTTATTGGAACATTGTTTGGTAATAACAAAAATTGGAAACAGCTTAATTTCCATCTGTAGGAGAATGAATAAATAAGCTATTTTTTTTAATAAGATGAAGTGTTACACAAGTGTTAAAATCATAGGTTAAGGCTCTGAAATGTGATATTGGCTGAAAAAAGAAACTTTGGAATGATACATGTTGTGGGATGCATTTATTTGATATTTTTAAAAAGTAAAATACTAGATACTATTTGTCTAAATACCTATTTATGCTAGATTTTTTTTAGCTGGTATATATATGACATATTTGTTAAAAGGAAGAAACATGATCTATAAGAATGCATACAAATTTCAGCATAGTGTTTACTTGTAGAAAGGAAACTGACAAAGGGAAAAAAACTTCAGTTTTATTTATAACATTCCCTTTTTCATGTAAGAATAAGAAATTAATATGAAAAAATGCTACATGTGTTAATGTATGGTATTGGGAACATGGAGTTGTTATTATTTCTACTTTTAATGTATTATTTAAAATTTTCTAAATAAAAAAGGAAAAATATTCAAGTGTAGTATAGTGAATTAATAGTAATTACAGTGAATGAATAGTACAGTGATTAAGAGCAGGAGCTTTATAGATAGACCAGGTTCGAATCCCAATTTCATTCCCGTCCATTCAAACAATGGTTAAGTGAAACAGGTCTCTATATTGCAGGACTTCTCAGTGCCTTTAATATGCTGATGTATATAGTGAACTATTAGGTAAATATAGCATTCAGAATTTCCCAAACTCATTTGACCCTAGAATGAGAGTTTTTCTGAACATAGTCTGATAAAGGCTGCTTTTATGGGTAATCCACATTTAAGGAGTAAAATGAATAATTAGTTATATTCAATCTGTACAGGGTCTCACTTCATCTCCTTGTTACTGAGGCATACTCTGCATTTTCCTACTCCCACTGTCTCTAAACTTCTTTTCTTTGAGAAAGAGATAGAGGCTCCATTCCCTTTCCTTCTCCTCTTCAACAAAGTGGCTGTTAAGGAGAAAGATTTTTCTGAGAGATCTATGACTATCAAGATAGACTACATCAAGAGCAGCCAGGTTCATTTGAAATGGACAGGTCTTTTAAAAACAGAATTGTACGTTTTCTTTGGTAGCATTTGTCATTTCTGGCATTGGACAATATCTATAAAGTGTCTAGCCACAGCATTAAGTCTAATTCTCTTGTCAGTTACTTAGAACTTCATTATAATTTTACTACATTCAGTGAATGTTCTTGCATCATATCAAGAGCTGAAAATGTCCTCTGAATAGGTGGCTTGTTTGTTTCTTAGGAATCCCCCTGGGAAGGTGTCAGGCATGTCACATGCATGATGTTTATTTTTATCTTTTCTGGCCAATTATTCAGAGAAAGAATTTCTATGATTTCAATGAATTTGTTATACTTTATTCAGGGCTTACCTATTACTGATACAAAACTTGTTTGAGCCTTGGGTGTAGTCCTCAGCCTGAGCTTGGAGTTGTAGTCTGCAAATTGGGAATAAAAGTTTCTATTCCAGGTTCTGCCTCTGACCTTGGTCTACATTTGACCTTGGATAAATTCAGATCTCCTAAAGGGCAAGCTGTCCAGACAGAGAACATTTAGCTATGGTTTACCTTGGATTTGAAATGTTTTCCCCAGTGATTTATGTCTCTGACATGGTCTCATTTTATATAACCCCAAACAAAGCCTCATTTGTTTCCTTTGGCCTCTTAGAAATCACCAGAGTTGCTTACTCCATATATTCAAGTTCTGCAAAATTCCCAGGGATGTATCCCCTTATATGTACCCAAGCCAGCTCTGCCTTGTTGATTAGCTTGGTGATCTTCTAGGCCTCTTTGGGGATTTTACAACTTGCGTTCTCATAATAAGATGTGCCAAAACTGACAGATAGAAAATATAAACAGGCTCTTTAGAACTTAGAGGCCCCTGCGCTAATTTCTTAGACGTTGAACTCTGAGCTCTAAGTCTTTCTGAAATAATCTAGGAATATGGTGCGAACCATATCAGGCAGGACTCAGTGACAGTGACGACAGCCAATTGCTTTTTGCCCTGAGGTTATATACAAATGCCCACTTTCTATCTTTTTTTTTTTAAGATTTATTTATTTATTTATACAAGCACTGGGTACAGTCAGAAGCACGGGAGGGTGAGAGAATTCACCAGAGCCAGAGCAGGGAACAGAACAGGCAGACTGATGAAATACACTGCTGAGGGGAGCAGCGGGAGCGGCAGGAGAGGTCTGCGCACCATATGGGACCCTTGCCGGTGGCCAGGGATTGAACCAATGCTGCAGAGGCTGCGGGCAGCTTCGCAGCCCAGTGCTCAACTGCTGTGCCTCCAGAGGAGGCCCAAATGCCCACTTTCTAATTGCAAAAGACATTGTAAAATGCTTTGTCTTTCTAAATTAATTTGTATGGTCAGGTCATGTCATAAACAACCATGTTTCTATGTGTACCTATCAAATCACGGATGATTTTCACTGAGCCTACAGGATAGCCAGTAGTTTGCTATGGAGGAGATTAGCAACGGGTAGATAGACCTCAGTATCTGCCTTCCAGGAACTTCCCCCATGGTTGGAGAAATGAACCAAAGGAAACAAATTGAAGATGTTAATTTTGTTAGCATTGGGATTTGGTGTGAAGATAACTGCACAGCTGCCCAGCACGTGAAAGCCCAATCTCAGTCCCTATAATTATGGGTGATATAAGAAAAAATATAAATAGAGTTAGACTTAGGTATAATCTATTAACAAATTTCAAAAGAATGTTGGTGTGTATGTCTGTTTGGATGTGTGTGTATGTGATTGGGGCAGCTGAAGTAGAAAAGAGAACAGATAATTTGGACCATCTTGTTAGCCCAACTCCCCCACCCCCTGCCTCCTTGCCTGATGATGCCTGTTCCTGATGCTTTGAAGTATTATTAGATGTCGGGATGGATGAATGACCGGAGACACTGAGAAGGAGGAGACGAATGGTTAATGTCCTGGCTTCTAGCCTTATATATAAGTCTTTTAGCTGATGTCTCTTGGTTGTTGCATTATCTGCTCGTCAAAAAATTCAAATGCATTTGTGGCTTTGGCTTCTTCTAGAGAAATGCTTCTGAGATCCTCAGCGCACAGTGACTGGCTCCATCATGGCTACTTTCAAAGACTGCCTCCTTGTTCGATTTTGGATGACTTTCTTCCTCAAGACCCAAGTGACCGAATTCATTATTGATGGCCTGGCCAGCATATTGCTCACATTCTTCCAGATTAAGTGGGATTTAACTGTGATCATTCAGGTAGTCTGCTTTGAATTTGAGGGAGCATTCTTCTTCATGAGATGGGAGAGGGATCTGTAAATATTCAAGAATGACAGTAAAGTTAAAAACATTTCGTATCATCCTTTCCTGTTGATGTTTCTGTAGTTCTTTTTTTAAAAAAAAACCTTAGACTACTTCAAGAAGGTCCATTCCTCCCCTTAAATGTCAAGCTTTTTTCTCAGATCAGCATTTTTTGATGATTATAACTTGGAACTATGTCTATACAGTTCAGTGAAGTGGATAATGTTAAATGGTTCAAACAATAAATGATGTTTCAATTATTTCAATATTTTAGGTGAATGCATGTGTTCAAATTTCTTTGAACTGAAATCATCTAGATCCATCTTCTTTTCTCCACATTACTTTGTGCAAACATAGAATGTATATAGCTTTTGCTAAGGTATATTAACTATAAAAACCCCAGCACTGGAGTTACAATTCATTTTTATCCTAGTTTCCTGTAGAAAGAACTTAGCAAAGCATTCTGTGTCCCTTCTTTACCCCATTATATTCTCAGAAGCAGCTGCTGTTGCTTTGGCCACAGTACAGGATTTATTTGCTGATCTTGGGATATTTAGGTCCAATGTTGGCTGAACTGTAGGAATACTGAACTTCTTGGAATACAAGGCTGCAAGCCATGGGTCACAGACCTGGGAGGCACCTGTGAGCTTAACACCCTTGTTAGCTGTAAGCGTAGAGCCCTGGCTTTCCACTGACCATGTCCTACTCCCAGGGGAAACACTAATGGCTTCTGAGTAAAATTGAGAAGGGTAGACTAAGGTCAGGCCTTCACACAGTTCCCATGAAGCAAGGTATCTATTTTGGACTTCTCCAAAGATCTAGAAATTCATGACCTACACATACCTATTTATTCGACCAACTTTTAGGTTTAATTACATAAAAAGGAGGCAGTGCAGCTCAAATGAACATTTCTGGAACCCTCCATTCTTGACAGTTTTAACCCAAATTCAGTCCACTCTCAAAGACTAACTGCTAGCACTTATTGACTCAGAAGCAAACTGTTTTCTAGGTCCCTTGCCTTAACTAAACTGTCATGATTACACCTTCTATCTTCCTGAAAACCTTGCTAAAGGGAAGGGGAATTCTGACAATGATGAATGGGAGGCGCCACTTCTATGATTCGAGTGTCTGCTTTCAAGTCTTCAGTGTTTAAGTTCATCTATGATCGAGACCCTGCTTCCTACTCCTGTATTATTTCTTACCACTCCTTACTTTGTACTTTATATTCTAGCAGTTCCAAAGCATCTGAAGTTCCCATTCTCTCCAGACAGTCATACTCTTTCTTACACATCTGTTTTTAAGTATTCTTTTTATCAAAAATTTCCTTTTCCCAGTAAATGTTCATCATTCTTCTCCAGGACACGACACCCTTTTGTCCCCTGTCTTACCCAGGTGATCCTAGACAGGTGTCATTTCCAAACTAAGTCCCCCCTAAGCCTGGCATATCTCAGCTTGTCCCTGCCATACCAAATCTCTTTTATCTTTTTTTTCCTGATGCCCAATTCAGAGATCTGAGCATGGTAGGCATGCAAAATAAAGGCAAAATAAATTGAATGAATAAAGTAGAGGTCTTGAGAGGACAGAAGATGATGCCTTTTGGTCAAAAGTTTTAGGCAATGTTGGGCAGACAATAAACATCACAATAATATGATAGTTGCATTCTATATGAGCAGCTATTATCCAACAAATATTTTCAATATTTATAACCCTTGCAATAATATTGCGAGACCTATACTATCATTATTCTATTAAATTATGATTTATTATCATTTATTATGATAATTCTAATAGCAATGATAAAGAATTTAAAAATTAAGAAAGTAAGAGAACAATGCAAGAGAGAAGTTCAGTGACTTAAAATCACACATAATCACAAAAAGTAGATGCTGGGGTTGCTAAGCAATGTAAACTGTCAATCGGTTAATGCAATGTCAATGGCATCTTTTCAGCCTGAGGTAGGTGTAGTAACTGGCCATGTTGGAAACCAACTGACGTTTCCCCATATGCAATTAGATTTTGAAATACTCCACTGGGGAAACTCTAAAAGCAGTAGAATCAAGAAATACTTGATTCAGTCTGGGGCTGGCAAGGTTTGTGCACACATGGGTTCCAAAGGCAGGAACAGTTTGTTAATTTGGTGTGTAACTACCAGAAACTTTTATTAACAATTATTGCTGGGAAGAGAAATTGATGGAAAATGATGGCCTAGAGTGTTTTTTGGCCATGAAGTGACTTCTGCATCATTAAAGAAAATTGAAATTTTGCTCAGTCTAAGTTTTTTAGTCTGTTTTATTGTCTTCGAAGTCTTTGGATATTAGAAATCTCTGAAAGACATAGATGCATTTAACTCTTCCATATTTTACTAACCAGAAGCACCCCAAGAGAGAAAATTTATCATTTCAAATCTGATTGCTTTTCTTTAAAAGATATGTAGTAGTTGATGTAGTTTATTAATGGCAAATTCATGAGAAAAGACTAGTTAGCTTAACATAACAGTTGTAGGTTATTATACACTTTTTAACTAGCTATTCTTTCTTCTTTTAATAAATATTTGCTACACACCTAACGTGAAGATAGGCACTCTGTTGGGTACTGGAGTTGCAGGTATGCTTAAACCATTTAGTCCCTGTCTGTCTAGATCGAGGAAATCTATGAACACTTTTGATGTTAAAGTAATTCTGATTCTCAAAGAATAGTGTTAGTATAGTTAAGATTAAGACTACAAGGCTGAATTAAGTACACACTGCAGCAGAAATAAAAACAAATTGCCAAGTACAGAACAGAAAGAATGATTTAACTTGGGGACTGAGAAGCAAATAACTGTGGTTATTGCTTGGGTATGGACAGGTAGGCAGTGGTCCTGTGATGGGAGATATTGGTCAGATCATTGGGTCTAAGAAATTTAGACTTTATCTTGAATAATGCTTGTTTGTATGCCGATATATTGGTAGCATCTACTTGAAACACTGTTTTGGAAACTGAATGAAGTCACTTCTGCATTTCAGAGAAAGTGCTGCAAATGGACATTGATGTCCACTGATGGTGTTGGAGGAGGAAAATGGCAACTCCAATGCAATAAATGCATTTGCCATCTTATCTGTGGAAAATGGAACACTATTAATCAATCTATCAACCAGTATTTATTGACCATCTAGCACTTGGATAAAGTATTGCCCAGAAACATATTTGGCACCAAGGGAAAGTAAAAAGGTCTAAATGTCTAGTGTCTAAAATGTTGACATTGTTCTTACAATACAGCTACGAAGAAGTATGTCCATGACATAGTAAGATTTACATACTTAAGAAGACATGAAATCCTGGCATTTCTTAATGCATGGGACTTTGATATATGGAATTTTGTTATTTTCCTGAAGGGCAATTTAAAGGCCAAGTCAGAGAGAGCTAGAGAGAGCTTCTACACGATCTTCTATATATCTGGTGACAAGACACAAGCAGGGCATTGGGAGGAAGGGGAACAGCCTGAAACTATCACCCAAGCATTCCCTCCGTGTGGACTTTCCAAGCAAAGTGCACATGAAGTGATGTGGCCTAAGAATTAAGTTTTTGGTCTCCAATTCCCTTCTCACTAAGCGCCTTCAAATCAAGGATCCAAAGCTTGAATTGGCTCTGGTTGGGGATTGGCAGTTCACTTAGACTACTGGTGAACTGGGATTTATTTGCTTTAAAGTTTCCTCCAACACATATTTAATAGGCAGATGTAAACCTATATGTTCTCCTTCCAACTCCTCTTGGATCCCTGTGTTCCTTGGTGCTTGCACAGCTTTCCCAGGGTGTCTTTAGCAACATAATCTTTACTGAAGGAGAAGGGCCTTTGGCTTGCATGCTTTCCCACCACCCTGTCAGTTATTATGTCTGTTTTCCTGAAACGGCTCACTCCAGCTTGTTTATTTATGATGGGCCTTGTGGTCAGCTGCAAACTTAGTTTGCAGTTTTTCAGTAACATTTATTGTTTTCATCTGATTAAAGAAAAATACATGCCAATGGTTCAAAAATTGAAAAATACAGAGAAGTATAAAAATGAAAATTCAAATCACTCATAATTCCATCACCCAGAGTTAATCACTATTGCTATTGTGCAATATTTTCTCTCAGGCTTTTTTTTTTTTTTTTTTTGCAAATATATGGTAAACATGCCTCCATGTACTTTTAAACAAAAATATAATGGCTATATAATTTTGGTTGGTTCTAACTTCTGTTATCAATTGAACTAACAGGACCTAAATTTTTCCCCCATATTTCTAATTATTTATTTAGCAACCAATTCCTACAAAAGAGAATAGAATTTCCATTGTATAAATATTTTTAATGGCTATTTATAAAAAATATATCATCTTAAATTTTTACAAGCATGATAAAGCTAATGCTATTTCATTGTGCCGTTGTTATATGATTGTATATTATTAATTTTAATGTGGTAATTTAATTGCAAAAAAATGTTAATCCTTACTTTATTTCTCACTTTTGGATTACTAGAGAGTTTTATAACTTTTGATAGAGGAGTGATCCCACAAGTCCTGATCTTTATTTTCTGGTGTATTTTTATTTATGTTTCACTGATTTTGAGTTCCTGTCTTATTTAAATAGGGCCTATGAAACTTTTCTTGATCCATGATATGTGTAAACCTTCTGCATTGCATATTTTATCTTTACTCAACAATCATGCATTCATGAAGTATTTATTGAGACTTATTGAGAATCTAACATATTTCTGTTTTCTCAGTCTAGAGATAAATAGATGGAAAAGGAAAGTTCCTGACCTCTAAAATCTCATAGTGTAGATGTAACATACACACAGCATAAGAAATAAAATTCAATGTCTTGATTCCATGCAATCAATAATTATTTATTGATGCCATCTATGTATCATGGATTAGACTAAGGATTAAGGATATCAAAAATAAGCAAAATAGTAATAAGTAAACAAGCTTCTTCTCTTTTCCTTTTAGAAAGTGTAGACTCCTGTTGGCTAAATAGAACTGTATAAAGGTTATTATAATACAGTGGGGATAAGTTGGCAGAAGCTTAAAATAGTGTCTATGGACATGGCTCTAAAGTCACACAGTCTGGGTCAAATTCTGGCTCAGCCACTGACTAACACTACTCTGTGATTATGGAACAAGTAATGTAAATTAATCATTTTGTCCTTCAGTTTTATTTGTGGAAAAATAGAGGCAATAACAGGGTTGTTTCATAGATTCATGCAAAGCATTTAGAAAAAGGCCTAGTATGTAGTAAGTGTTCAACACATGTTTCATCCTGTTAAAATCTATGTGATGAAAAGTTTGGTTTGTGTTGCTAGAATGTGTAATAGGGACCCTTGATTTAGAGTTATAGAGCAGGGAGTTCAAGGAAATTAAAATTTTTCAGTTAACCCAAAACCTGAAAGGTGAGGGGGTTAATATGGCACATTTGGGATAGTGCAACAGTGTGTGTGTGTGTGTGTGTGTGTGTGTGTGTATGTGTGTGTGTGTGTGTGTGTGTGAGAGAGAGAGAGAGAGAGAGAGAGAGAGAGAAAGAAAGAGAGAAAGAGAATATGTGGGCCCCATGAAGAGAAAACAATATGCAAAATCTCAAAAGAGTGAATGGCTTTTAAAGAAATAAGTGCAGTTCAGTGAGATCAGAATATAGAGTTGGAGATTCTTTTAGTTACATACTCTTTTTTTAAAAAGATTTATTTATGTGTAGAAGAACTGGGGTGCAGGCCAGAGGTGAGGTGCAGGAAGTGAGAGGATTCATCAGAGACAGAGAAGCAGAACAGGCAGACTTACTGAAATACACTGCTGAGGGGAGCAGCGAGCAATACAGGAGAGGTCTGCTGTGCCATATGTGGCCGGGATTGAACTCAGGCCATAGTGGTGGCAGCACTGAGATTTAACCCCTAGGCCACCAGGGAGGCCCCTAGTTATCTACTTTTGTGTAATAAACCATCTCAGAATTCATTGGATTTAAAACACAAAAGTTAGGAGAACAATTCAAGTAACTATGAAATTTTCAACAGAAATCGGAGAATATAAAGAGCAGTAGAACAATTTTAATATGCTGAAAGAAAAGAACTACAATCCAGAAATTGTTATCCAGCCAAAATATCCTTCAGGAATGAAAACAAAATAAAAACTTTCTCAAATGAGAGGAAAATGAGAGAATTTTTTACCAGCAGATCTATTTTACAACAAATTCTAGTAAGTTCTTCAGGCTGAAAGAAAATTATACCTGAAGCTTGAAATTTCAGGGGTGAACAAAGTACAACAAAAATAGTAGATAATTGGATAAATATACGACTTATTTCTCATCTTTAAATTCTTTAAAATTCTGTTTGTCAAAAGGAAAATGTCTGACATTATTTGATAGGATTTTCAATTTATGTTAATGTAAAACAATTAATGACTAGAGCACAAAATAGAAGAGTAAAGAGAGCTATTTAGTTGTAAGACTTTGAAGTCAGGTCAATGCTAAGCATTGTAAAAGATTATGCATGAATATTGTGGATGGATGTGGAGAATAAATATAATCAAGGTTATTATCTTGCTTATAATAATGTACTAATTTAATGTAATCCCCATCAAAATCCCAGAAATACTTTTCAATGAAACTGAACATAAATATTGAAATTCATATAATACCACAAAGGCCTTGAATTGCAAATGCAACCCTAGGGAAAAAAGAGAAAAATGGAGGTATCATGTTATCTGACTTCAAACTTTACTATAAAGCAACAGTATTAAAAGCAATATGATATCTATAAACAAACACGTGCCGATAAGTATGCCTTTAAAAAGCTGATGAATCTAAGAATAACCTTCTCAATGATAAGGAACATCAAGTGTTCATATCAACTCTAATCATGGAATTTGATAGGAGATGAAAAGTTGGTTTGATTTCATTATCACCTTTGTTCACGTCAAAGATGTGGGAGCCCCTTCTAACACAAGGATCAGAAATAGTATGTAAGTCTATTCCTGTATGTAAAGAGTCCATTGTAGTGTATGTGTCTTTCCAAACTAGTAGTAGATATACAGCTTCTTTGGCATGGAAGAGAAGGAATATAATAGTCTTGTCTGAGTGCCTGGAGTACCAGAGTACTAGGTGCCTTGTAAATGCCACATTAGATAAGAGGCAAGCTAGACCAGACAAAATTTAGAAACCCTTTAAAACTAAAGCAAGCAGTGATCTTTTTGTTTATTTACTTTTTTGTGTGTCTTTGGGGGCCATGAGTAATTAACTCTTGAGCTGTTATTGAACTACTTAGAGCACACAAAGTTCATCTTTGTGTTTTGATCTTTAAAGATCAAAAATTAATGGTATTATCAAGTGACAATTAAAACATTCACTCATATGCACATGTTCACATACACACAAAGTACTAGGGAGTACTGGGGAATAAATTTTGAAAACAAGACAATTTGGGTGGTGGCTGCCACCAGTAGTACTCTGAGCAAAATGATTGACTGGTTACATATCTGATACCTGTTATCAGAGCATTTTATTGCTCTTGAGAAGGCATCCCTGAGGAATCTATGAAGGGCCACAGAAATTTTTTTTTTGCAGGAGGAAATTGTATGCCCTGAGCAAACCTAGTTTTGCTAGAGTTCTAAAGGGATTAAAGAAATTGGATGAATTAAGGAAGGTTTTTGGAGTGTTACCATGTGTATTTGTCTTTCTCTTTCTGACTTATTTCACTTAGCATAATCTTCAGTTCCGTTCATCTTGTCACAAATGGCAAGAGCTCATCTTTTTTTATAGCAGAGTATTATTCCACTATATATATTTATCTCATCTTCCTAATCTACTCATCTGTCCTTGGGCACTTAGGTTGTTTGCCCAGGAATCAATCCCCAAATATCCAAACTTGACCAAGATGAGTAATTATGAAGTAGATATTTTATTGACTCCATTATGCAGGTGGGCAAACAGAGGTCAGATGGCTAAGAAATGGCAGAGACTGGATGTGAAACAACATCTGTAGGTTCCAAAGCCTGTGCATTAAATATCAGACTCTTCCACACAACTCTTAACTCCAATTAGTGGTTTTTTTTTTTTTTTACATTTCATTTTTAATTTTAATTTTGTGGTCATGTTTTTTTGCTCTTCTACATATGCACATGTTCTATTCATCCCCTCACCAAACCACCTATGTCCATACCAATTAGTTAATAAGCACTTGATGCCTAAGATCAGTGTTACTTCAGTGATGAAAAGCATCTTCTGAAGGCAGGAGTTGGTTAATTTTACAGTAAGTGTTAAATAGTAAAGATTTTAGACTTTGTGTAATATACATTCTCTTTTGTGATTATCTTTAAAGCAGGGAAATAACTGAAGACCATACATTGGCCAATGGATATGGCTGATATCCAATAAAACAGAATTTATAAAAGCATGTGGTGAATCACATTTAGCCTATGGGCCATCCATAGTCTGCTGGTGTCTTTTTTATGGGAAGAAAAAAATCTTTCTGATACTCACAGATTTATTTTAGGATCCTCAGAATCTATGGATTTTAATTTTAAAATTTTTGATTAAAAAAACTCACACCATGAACATACTTTCAATGAGTCAATGAAAAAGTATAAGATAATTTCTTCAATCATTCTCATATGAAGAAAATAACCAAATATTCTCTTATAACCCAAGGATTTCCAGCATCTGACCACATTTGTGGAAGTGATTTCCATCCTTTCACCTTCACTCTGGAGGAACAGGAAGGAGGACAGAGGGAATACACAAGACACAGACTGATGGTGTCATCTATGGGAGCATGGGCCTGAGATCTGTACCAGAAAGTACAAATCAGCAACAGGAGGATCGGAGACTTTTCCATTTATTGTTCATACTTCCCATCTCCAGAGCTGAGTGTTCTGATGACTGTCAGATATCCGATGTTAAGGAGTGACTTTTTTAAAGTAACCAGGTATATAAATGGCCAACAAGCACATGAAAAAATGTTCATCATCACCATCAGGGAAATGTAAATCAAAATCACAGTGAGATACCACTTCACACCTGCAAGATGGCCCATATAAAAAAGAACAGAAACACCTAGTATTACAGAGGATATGGGAGAAAAGGAACCCTCCTGTGCTGTTGGTGGGAATGAAAACTGTTCCAAACCTTATGGAAATGGTATGGAAGTGTCTCAAAATATTAGAAATAGGTCTACCATATGAGCCATCAATTCCACTCCTTGGTGTCTACCCCAAAATGGAAAGGAAAAAAAAAAAAAAAACTCCAGCTAATTCAAAGGGATATCTGCTCTCTTATCTTCTCTGCAGCACTATTTATAATAACCAAGTTATGGAAACAAGGTTTTACTGTTTTTAATGTGTGTGGCACTTAAAAAGAATTCAAAAATTGCAAGTCACATCTTTATTCATTACTACTGTTACCAAGATGTGCTTCTCCTTAGTACAGTGTTTATCACCATCCAAACTCTCATTACTCAAATCCTTACCAAAACAAAACAAAAACAAAAACAAAACCCAGAAACACAAAACCATGTATTTGCCAGCAAAATAGATTAAATCACCTATGACTACAGGTGAAAGGGCAGGTATGATGTGTTGCTGTAATCCAGCTGTTCTAATAAAATCGTATTTCATTATTTTGACATCCTGTGCATCCTGTGATGGTGTCTCTTCGGAAAATGGGAAAGCCATTGAGTTGATGCTCCTGAGTTGATATGGAAAGTCATTCATTGGAAGAAAAATTGGAAGCTATAAAGTTTATTGAGAGAATATGTAAAAATTATGTTAATATTAATTTTGTCCTCCTCTATGTACTTTTTAAATATATGAGCAAAAAGTTATTGAAATACAATACTATCAGCTTATTTGTGCAGAAATCCTTAATAAATTGCAATTGGGTTGCTTTGTAACCTCTTGGGATATTATTTGGGGTCCAAAGAAGAACACAAATGCATCATTATTATTATTGTGTTATCTTTTAAAATCAGGGTCTATAGCCTCCCACTATCTATCCAAGATGTTTTTAAGAATGGGTTACATTCAGGAGAAGAACTGGTCTCACACTGTCCTCCTGGGAATTGAATTCCTATCTTGTTCCATGTCTGAGTCTCTCTCTTGCTGACCTAGACATGTTGCAGGCCTTGCTTGTTGCCAATCGCCTCCCAAGTATTGGAATCATTGTCTGTGGTGGGTGGGACTCTGCTCTCCAGGTGCCAGCTGCCTCTGCCTGTGTTCCTGGCTTCTTGGCATGGCCTGTTCTGTGCTAATTCTTCTTTCCTGCTCCAAATGTGTCCCCTTTGAAGCTGTGCATGCCTAGGCAGAAGTCCCATCCTTTAGTCAAGCAAGTTCAAGTATGCATGTTTGCCTGTTCCCAACATTCCCTTTCAATATATTCCTTCCATGGGTCAGGACATGCTGTGCTTTGCCTTGGACCTGTCTGATGCCCGTGGCTTTACTGACACATCACCTATTGCTGTTGCCATTCCTTCAGAGTGCTGTTCTGCATGTGGAATTGAGCTCCCTCCCAGCCTATTCTCCAATCCTTCCTCACTCCTCCAGTGATGGTTCTGATTCTAGATTCCTCCATTCCTCACTATCTGTAACACCAGCTGCAATGAATACAGCAATGCCTAATCAGTTTCAGATGCATTCCTTGCTACCCTTTGGGATTTGTTTGCTTCCGCTGTCCTTTGTTGGTTCATTTTAACCTTATTTGTCAAATGTAAAATGTTGAGTAGAGAAACAGGGTAACATGTGGATGACATAAGGTGATGTGATTCATTTCTGTAATAATAAGCCACAGGCAGTGAACTCCACCAGGGCTGACCTGTTATGAACTTTCATCATACAGAGCATCTGTGACATGAGGAGGTTAAATCTCTTCCAGCTTTCCTTTACTGCTCACAAATGTGTGACCTTTTCAGGTTGCAGTTTTTTCTTCCACAAAATGAGGGAGATAATACCCGCCTAAGAAAGTTGTTACGAAGAGGTAAAGAAACAGACAAACTCAGAGAAACTGAGGAGAGGGTGCTTCATAGGGGTGGGGGTGGGGGGAATGAGATGTGACTCAAAGAATACTAAGTCCCAGTTATACGATGACCAAGTTTAGGGATCTAATATACCACTTGGTGATTATGCTGACAGTGGTTATAATGGGAGCCTACAGTTCCATATGTTTGAATGTTGTTCAGAGAGGATATCCTAAATGTTCTATACACACACACACACACACACACACACACACACACACACACACACTATAATGGGATTGAGGTGAGCTAATACAGTGGTGGTAATTACCTTGTAATTTATAAATGAATCAAAACACATCGTATGTCTTAAACTTACACTATTGTATTTATCATTATAGCTCAATAACCTGGGAAGAAAAAGAACACAAGACGGATTCTTGACCCAGTGATCACATGATACCATGAAACTACCTCAATGCTTTTCACTGGCCCCAGGGTTTTCTTTTGTAACCTTTACTTTTTGCAAGGACAACAGCCCCGGGTGCATAGGGGTGCATGGGAGTTCCAGAAAGGAGACACGTGAGCAAAGTATGTGATCTGGGGCTCAGTCAGATGGAGGAAAGGCCAGTCCTGTCCCCTTGAAGCAGTTCCTTTCCCCAAGAAGAGCCTTTCTTTCCCCTCTATTCTTTCCACTGATCTGTTTGTCCAGAGTTCAATGATCGTGTAGTTTGAAGCAAACACTTTGTTCCAGACTTAGCTTGCAATATTTCTCTAACTGCTCCCTGGTTGGCCATTTTAGCTTCCAAAAAGACAGGACTTTTCCTTTTTTTTTTTGCCCTTCACATAGCAAAGAAAACATGGACTTATAGAAAGAATAACGAATTAAAGTCAGAAAACCTAATCCTAATTTTGAAAGTTGAAAAACCCTATGCAATTCCTAATAACTGAAAGTTAATTTTCTTAGTTAGCTTCAGAGACTTGCTCAGTCCTAAAAATCAACAAACAAAACAAAACAAAAAAACACTTAATAAAAAAGAATTTCAATAATATACTTATTGGGAGACACATTGAAGAGAACCTGTGATGTTCGAATCCACCTTAAGTATTTCAAGTTGAATATCTCAAATTAATGTGTTGACTGGAGAGGGAGGCTAATGTGTCAGAAACATGCAATGTTCAAGGAGCTGGGTCTAGTCATCTCAAAAATTGGCCTGGTTCTTTTCTTCTCTGTCCTCACACACCTAAAAGCGAGGCCTTTTTAGAAATGTTTTTCTTTCACTCAGGATAGTCATCACCACGTGGTATTTCAGCATTTTTAAGACTGAAGGTTCAGGATAGTTTTCCAAGTGCTAAGTGAGCCCAGTGGGTGAACATTCCCTCTGCCTGTGGTCCTTGCAGGTCTTTGCATGCAAGTCCCCAAGTGAGTGGTCTCACTAGAAGGATCACACCACTCTCCCCAAGCCCAGATCATTCCTCTCTAGCACACAGCTCCCTCTCTGCCTCCACTCTGCCTCCCTCCTCATCAGTTCCCCAATCTTTCTCCACTTACCACACCACTGGTGGTCTGGGATGTGCAAACCAGATGTTTTCCCTAAGCGATTAGAAGATTACTTTTCAAGTGTCTTCACAAAGCAGATGTTGCCATTCATCCCCCGCCCCACAATTGCTGAAACCTTGCTCTGCCCCAGAGAGCACATGGTGTTGCTGCTGTGTGTTTGATCAGGAAAGTACGAGCAAGAACAAGAGAATCCCACACTGATGATGGTTTGGCAGGCGAGCTCCTGGGTGTGTGTGTGTGTGTGTGTGTTCCTCCTCCTTTTGTTCCCGTTACGGTTGTAAGCAGATGTTTTCAACTGGCCAACTGACTGTTCTTTCTCTGGCCCCATATATCAATGCTTCACCCCATTTTCCTGCTTCAGGTTAAACACAATTTTCTCAAAGACGCTAGTGGCTTTCTTTGCTTAATGCACCCTTTCTTTTGACTTTATTCAGAGTTTCACTTGCTCAGCCTGGGAAATCTCTATTAGAATGCAGGAGTTTTCTCCTAAACTTACACTTCAGTTACAAGTTGCTCCTGGACCCCTAGCTTAACTTGAGTCTATTATTTTGTGTGTGTCCTGTTTCCTTCTCTATCCCCTCTCTCTCCTGCTCCAGTCCCACTGAGCAATTGCAGGTCAGCTATGCTCTCTCTCACTTTTAAGCTTTTATGTGTGTCTTTCCTTCTCTCTGGATCATTCTCCTTTCTTTTCCCCTTTGCCTGGAAAATTTTTGCTAATCCTTTAGATCTTTGCTTACTTCTGATTTTCTCTTCGACCTCCACCTGCCAATCAGAAGGTCCTGTGGAGTTCCTGTGCTGATTTCAGCCCAGCCCTTATATCTCTGTACTGTAAAAATGTCTCCATTTTGTCACCAACTAATTTTATAAATCAAGAAAGTATGTTTTCATAGTGTCAAGCTAGAGGGTTGGAATAGAGTCCAGAGTCTTCTCTTTCACCCTCTCTCTCTCTCGTCTTCCTTCCCTACCCCCCTTCCTTCTGACAGTGTTCATTGAGCTTTTACTCTGTATTAAATGCTCTATTAAAATTGTGGAGTCATAAAATCAGCAGAGGGATCGTCCATGTCCTGAACCAAGTAAATCCAAAACCCAGATAGCCAAAGTGGTATGATGGCATTACAGTGGCCAGATATCCAAGGCCACATGGAAAACTGCCCTTCAGACAACTAATGTAACATATCTTGAAAGCAGAATGCAGAAGGAATGCAGCAAAGCCAGGTTGGTATTGCAATCACATTGGAAGAAGTGATTTAGAGCAGGGATTGGCAAGCAGCTGCCCACCAGCTGCTTATGTCCAGTTCATTCATTTATTTATTGTTTATGGTGCCTCTTGTGTTACAATGGCAGAGTTGAAATATTTATGAGAGAAACTATATGCTCTCAAAGCCTAAAATATTTATTATCTGACTTTTTATAGAGAGTGTATGCTGACTCCTGGTTTAGAGCATGAATAGTAAAAGTGGCCATAAAATTTTTGGAAAAATTTCCCAAAGGGTGAAATTTCTTGTACAGATTTGTCATGTATTATAGAGCTACTATAATAAGAATAACAGGATTCTGGCTTGTCAAAAGACAAATAGCTCACTGGGAAGATAATAGCAAGTCCAATATAAATCATTTATATAGGAATTATTAAATGATAAAGATGACATTTTAGTTCTATCAGGAAAATCACTTAATAAACATTGCTTGAAAAATTATTCATTTGGAGAAGAACATTTCCACTCGATTTTTAATATTCCTCACTCCCCTCTCACTCCCCTCGAAATAAACACGATATCATTGTTTTGCAGTCAATACCTATTTCATTCCTGACTGTTGTCCCTTGTTTCCATTCCTTCTTTCTAGGTTCAATTTCTCATTGCTGCATTTTGGCCTTTGGTAAATCTTTCTGTTTTATGACTAATAAATTTTCTACATGTAAAACATATCTTTATTTTCCCCAACTCTTGAATGATTATTCAGTTAAATATAGAGTTCTATTCTCAAAGATGATATTCCTCATCCCTTCAAAGACATTATTTCATTATCTTCTGACAAATTGTAGTGCTGATGAGAAGGTTTCTATCGACCTAATAATAAAACTCATTTGTTGGTAGAAAATCTATCCTTTGGCTTTTGTATCTTT